ATAATGGCTCTGAAAAGGGCCAGTGGTGAAATTTCCAGTTATTTCGTATTTCTATTGTTGATGATGGGGAGCCAGCTGCGGGTAAATTGCCTCTTATCCTTGGAGTCTCTGTGTAAGGAGACCGTACTGGAGGAAGGTACGTCGCTGACCAAAGAATATCTCTTCTTCAGGTCGTTCCCCGGATAACCAACCACTCACTGTTAGTTGGAAAAGTGAGCCTGGAGAATACCTACTCTGTAGGTATGCCATTGGGATGACCACTAAGATGAAGGTCGTTGTGGCTGCCTAGTGCTGTCTATCCTGGCTTGCATTTGAGGTAGAAAATATCTGACGACACTAGGCCGGATAGTTGAACGGCCACAAAACTCTGAAGTGTTGAAGTAGATTGTGCTCTAGCTAGACACGTCTCCTGGTATTCCGCCAGAGACGTTGACGTTCCGAACGCCTATTTTTCCGTAATACTCGGTTATCTTGGCGATCTGGGGTAAAAACCTGTTGATTTTGCTGGCCTATGAAAGAAGAGTGTTGTCGATAGCCAGGATACCCAGCTGCATAACTAACAACTCTGTTCTTCCTGTACTGCCGATGAACAACTACAGTCAAAGAAAAATCGAAGTGTGAGACTTCAAACTTTCTGGCAGCAAACACATTGAATGGCATCGAGGTGTTGTACTACAACGTTTGATAACGTCTCGTTCAATATTAGAAACGTAGTCGTTCAATGATGTTGGTGGTGCTTCGCTTCCAAGTTAAAAAATAGGTATGACCAACTTGGAGCGCCCAGTGCTCAAACGCTATGAGCTCCACGGTGAGAGCGCAGAAGCTCGATGTTGGGCTTCAAGAGTTCAACTACTTTACACGCCATGTAGCTTCGTATTTAAACTATATATATTAGTCCTACTTTGAACTTGCAAGAGTTAAGATATAAAAATCATGTTTTGTATTAATTATTTTATTTTATATTATAACACTGTGTAATTCTATTACTTAATAAAAAAAAATTTTGTAGCTGTTAATCAACTGTCCGTATAATTGAAAAATATATTTTTGGCTTATAGTATTTTTTAACTATTTTAACAGCTGAGAGCTACGAAAGAACAGAACTGCTGCACTTCCCACCACATCGGCCTTCTACACCGTTTGCATGGCAAGCGGCCCCATCCAGAAAATAAACAATATTTTAGATGCTTTTTCTACAACTATGTTGTATTGTTATTTTTAAAAATTGAAGTAAAAAAGCTTTTACATGCATTCCATTAACAAAGATAAATTTGGGGTTTTTGGATATATATACATAACTAATAATTATAATATACCTAATAACCTATACCTAAAAACTAATAATCTTTTTATACAATTAAATATTACATTACTTGTCTTAAGTCTAACATGGAACTACTATATACAGCTTAAATACTGCAGTAGTGCAGTATTTCTCATATGAGCTACACGGCGTGCAAAGTAGTAGAACTGTTGGGAGCTGAGAGCGCCCAACATCGAGCTTCTGCGCTCCCACCGTGGAGCTCATAGCGTTCAATATTGTTTGAGCACTGGGCGCTCCAAGTTGGTCATACCTAACTTCTAACTTGGAAGCGAAGCACCACCAACATCATTGAACGACTACGTTTCTAATATTGAACGAGATACAGTCAAATGTGGTAGTGAGCGAGTTCAATAGTTATCGTAAGATGAGAGTACCACAAGTTTGAAGTCTGACACTTCCATTTTTCTTTGAGTGTACGATAACTGACAACTCGATGGGACATCTTATAACCACCTCAATCAAAAATTATTAGCTATTATTTTAACTATAAATTATAGTTGTATTGACAGCTATAATCAGCTACAATAATAGCTATAATTGACTACAATGTAGCTATAACCCGCCAGCCATAGCCCGTGTTTTGACCCATGCGTACTGCAACCCGTTATTCACTTAGTCACAAGAGATGGGCACGAATGGGAGCGCCAGGCTGTCCTGGCTATCACAATGCAACTTTTTTGATTTCTTTTCTTTTCAGTTTTCTTTTCAATGAAATTAATAAAGTGCTTCAGCAGTGTTATGCAGAAATACATAAAGATGATAACCAATTTTTTCACAATAAAAAATTTTATTACCAGTCCATTATAGCAAAAAAAGCCAATTTCTTGTATCTCGGCTTCAAAGTGAGCTAGAGCATTTTTTTTCTTCTTCATATTCGTGTTTTTTTTATGACAAATGCAATGATGTTTGTTGGAAAAAAAGTATACTTGATTGACTAAAATACATTTGCAATTGTTAAAATTTGCAATATCTCTGTACAATATTTATATTTTCTTACGGTTGTATTCAAATTAACATGATAGCTTTTTCTTTACGTCGATCAAAAGTTTTTCAGTAAAAAAATTTTTTTTTCACACTTTCTTTCCATTAACATGTTATTAACAATCAATAATGGATTTGCAGAAGTATCTGCTTTATAGGAAATTTAATGATGGAGAGATGGGGCTTGAAAGATTTTTGTAAGAGCAATAAAAGCAGTCAAAAATTATTAGCTATTATTTTAATTATAAGTTATAGCTGTATTTACAGCTAAAATCAGCTACAATAATAGCTATAATTGACTACAAAGTAGCTATTATCATGTACAAATAACAACTATAAGAAGTAGCTGTTTGCAGCTATAAATTTCTAGCGAATTTTAATTAACAGAATTTATTCAACAATTTTTATTTTTGTAAGGTATATCAGCCAAATAAGGTAATATTTTCCGTATAATAACACTAAAAGTAGGGGGTTCAAGTATATTTAAACAATAAATGAAGAAACAAAAAAATGTTACTGTTAGAATTTTTTTCGTTTATTTTTCAAAAATACTAGTTAAAATAATAGCTAATAATTTTTGACTGAGACTCTTCACTATCTTTGATTGCGGGTGGCTTTCATTTTACCTCGATCGACGCCACCTAATGTATCCTACTGAACTAAAGCGCAAAACTAGCTTATTTTAGTAAAACTTATTTATCACAATTGTTATTAACTTTTTCAAGAAAAAAACTATGCGAAAACCATCTTGGTATTATCAAGAATCAGTTTGAAAAATTTCAGCAAAATTGGTTCAGTAGTTTTCGCGGTTAGCAATTACAAGGGTTTTAGCGACTTAGCTTTATATATTAGTAAGATTTAGCGCATCCTTAGATTCTCTTCCTTTTATTATACCGTATTGATTTTTAGCAATGATATTATTGTTAGATAAAAAATTTATAAGCTTGTTGTGAATTTTATTTTTTTTAATATTTTTGCTATGTTAGATGTAAGTGATATAGGACGGTAGTTTGACATTTCTTGTTTGTTGCCCGTGTTATATACGTATAACATCAGCAATTTTTTGTGCATCAGGCCATATTGATTCATCGATGCACATGTTAAAAATGTGCGCCAGTACATCCCTAATATTTTTAGATAATAACTTAACAACTTTTGTATTTATTCTGTCAATCCCACCATTTTTATTGTTTAATTCCTTTATGATTTTTTGGACTTCAAAAGTATTTGTAGAAGTTAAATAAATCGAGTTTATGCTGCTGTTCGGTATTTTCAAACTATGTGTTACTGGTTTTACTATATTTTTACTTAAGTTTACACCTAGTTTACTGAAATTTTTGTTAAAACAATAAGCGTTTTGAATTTTCTTACTTAATATGTATCGTTTTTTCCATTTCAAATAAGTTTTATATTTTTATATTTTGAGTTTATAACGTTCCAAAGCTTCCTACAATTTTTACTATTTGTTTGGATAATTTTTTCATCATATCTTATTTTGTCCATTTTTGTGACTTTGTCTGATACCTTAACATCATTCTTGTATTTAATCTTTAGTTGATTATGTTTGTTATCATTTTTCATTTTTTTAATGTAACGTTTCTTTATTTCTACAAGATTTTATGATTGAATAAGTTATCCAACTTTTCCGAGGGAAGTTACTATTTTTTTTCTATTTGTATTTAATTTTTTTTTTTAATTTTTTCAACACTTTACTGCATTATGTCAATAAGTTTGTTTACAGCTGAATTCGGTTTATATATTGATTTCATGTCCTTCCAGTCCAAGATATTAGCTATTATTTTAAGTTTATTGTAGTTAAAGTGAAATTTCTGTCTTTCTTATTTACAAATTAAGTGCTGCAATAATTTATTTACTACACTCAATTCTTTGATGCAGTCCAATCCATAGCCTTTGACTGCACGGATGGGATTGAGAGAGATGGTGGAGTAACCTTCGTTGACATAATCCTCAATATACAGTACTATATCTAGAATACGCGTGTGATAGTGGCCTTATCCGGGTTGTATAATATATAGGCTCTGGCGCGCTCTTCTCTTATATTTCCATAGATAGTCAAACCCTTATTCAAACTGATACATGATTAAATGACTATAACGTCTAGTCTTCTAAACAGTAAAAGATTGGTTGCCTTACAATTGTGTGACGTATATTGTTTAATCAGGATGTCACTTTACTATATTCAAATACGGTTTATCTATAATCTAAATCAGATCACACGCTTGGTTTTAATGTTTTACACTTGTTCGAATAGAAAAGATCCTAGCAAATTCAGAAGTTCCAACCTTATACTACTTAATAGTGGTTTTAAAATTACGTTGTATTTATAGTAATTGTTATAAATGTATAACGTTGTATAAAAAAACCATCTATTATACGTTATCAGTGCATCATTTAAGTACTATCGAAACAGAAATAGAGAAGAAAACATAAAAATTTTCTAGCTCTATTGCATGCTCGCTGGTAATGACGATAACATCAATCTTTGAGCATATCAACGATATCAACAACACAACATCTATTTCTTCTTCTTTCATTCTTGGCTGTTCGTCCTTCCCGATTCTTGAACCTCAATTTCCCTTTCTTCGAAAATAATGATTAGCAAAGAGGGGGTCGGATTCACAAGTGCGAGCTTTGAACTCTGAATAGTAGTTGCTACCACACCTATAGCAGCCTGTAATATTCCAAGTTTTATCGGGGCAACATCATACTTGCAATATTCAAAGTCTAATATTGCGGATCAGTTAGCTAAAGTGATTCTCATAGCTGCAAACAACTCTAAGTTCTAAGCGACCTTCCTTAGAGTAGCTATAAGTATTTGACTTCGTTTATTTCTGTGGATGTTCTCTGTGGTGCTCTCTAACACGATGAAGTACATTGACCCCCAATCCAACAACATGGTTAATATACCACCCGTAAGTGATTTTTTGTATTTTAATATAGATATGTTCTTCAGTTGTGTTGTTTAAAAAAGATAAGTATTTTGTATTTGTAAATTTAACAATCTTAACTTTCTCTTTTGCCAAGTCAGAAGGCGAGAGCTGCGTCACGTTAGAGTATGAGAGCTTTTTTCTTTTTCTTTAACAAACTGGTGATGGAAGACAGTAAAAAAAATATCTGTAAGACTAAGGTCGTTACATAGTTTTATTTGTATTCGTGGATTACGTTTAAAGACATAATTGTTCAATTATTGTGACGCAAACTTTACAAATGAAAATATGCACAAATATCAGGAATCATTGATAAAATGTATATTTCTTGTAACTCAAAGCTGATAGACAGTTGACTAGTCAGTGCACTAGGTGCTGGGTGATAGATGTGTCAAAGATTTGATTTCATATAGCTATCTACTTAAAGATTTCATATAGCTATCTACATATACGCCCAAGAATTTTTGTATAACGAAATCATAATAATTGGTATACCCTCAAGGGTACTCTTCATATGAAAACTAAATGTGTTGTGCATGTATACTTACTTATTTAAAGTGAATGTACTTATATGTTTATTCGAAGAATAAAAGTATTCGCTCCGGATCTTTGCGTTTAACGAACGACGATCGTAGTTCGATTCTTACTGTTCATTTTAGCTAAGAATTTTTATTTTAGATATTTTCGAATATTTAAACCAAAAAAATCTTTAAAAAAGTTTCTTTAAGTTGCATAGTTTCTGAGAAATAGAGTATTTCTAGTTCGAAAAAATGGCCATTCTCGTTTCTGAAAAGCAATATCAGGTGTCAACAATTTAAATGCTGTCAAAGTTTCAACGTATTCTTTAAACATCTTTTAACAAAGTTTCAAAGTATAAAGCATTTTGGACTATCATGTTATTGCAACTTCGTTAATCCTACACCAGTCACACTCAAGCTACTAAAATGTATGTTAACATATCGATTGCTCTCATTTAGATGTATAAACCTACATTTCGGTGGCCTATTAGTACATGAAAAATAAGTTTAAAAAACTAAAGGGTGAGATAGTATCCCATCTCGTCCCCATCTTTTTGAGAGATGATAACGGAAACATTAAAAATTACTGGTTTTTTTTTTTGTTTTGTTTTTCATGATTGAAAATGATCATTTTCGCATTTTTTGGAACTTTAACGTTCAGACCTAAGTTATTGCACATATGTTTTAACCATTTTACGTAAGAACTATGCTGATATGCACTAAGGCTCTTGAATCTGTATAATGTCGTTAAGTAACGAAATTCCAAAACTCTTTAACCATATAGTGAGTAACGTTATCTCACGTTTCTTCAAAATCCAATTAAATACATATCTACAAAAATTCTACCCATCAGAATGTTCTTCTAGCATTCTGTCGGACAACTTGATTCGAAAAATGACAGTTGATTCAATAAATTATTTAATAGATTGAAAATTTCTCGTCAATTTGTCTGTTTAAGAAGTATGATTTTATAGGCGCGTTCTGCACTACAGAGTAAATAAACGATTTCCGATCGGTGACCTTGAGAAAAAGTGTAACGGAAGTGAATGTTGTTTGATTCTCCCCCCTTCGCCCAACCCTTCTTGACGAACTTCCGGTCCTCTCTTACAAAACTCTACCACACCACACATTTTGAATTTTATTTTATTTTTTTAAATCAATTCTTTAAAAAAACCAGTTTGCAAAGAGATTTGAACCCCCGACCTCCTGCACATGAGCCGAGTACTTTACTTACTCTGCCATAAACGGTCTCAATAAAAGAATTTCGATTACTTTTTCTTATGATGTTGTTTATAAATTATTTTTAGTGTTAATTTTAATTGTTTTCTTCTTTCACAAGTTTTCCTTTATGATTGAGGTGATTTTTTGACTTCAGGACGTTTATCACATATAGTTAGTAGGGAAAAAGTTCAGCTCAAAATTTAGAGAGGTGCAGGGAAGAGCGCAAATATATACAGCAACGCTGGAAATTATTTTTCTCTAATTGATGTACTTATATACACGTTTTTGCGCATGATTGATCCCTTCTTTCTTGTGTTATTAAAAAAAAAAAAAAATTATCATCGATCTATTTGAAAATGAAACAGGTTTATCTTAAAATAGTCTTTCATACAAGCAAAAGTTGGGAGGTTTATAAAAATCTTATAAATGCAATTTTAAGTAATTTTTCCATAAGGTTACATGTCGAATTGTAATTTTTTTAAATCAAATATGTGAAAAAGGGCACAGTTAAACGATCTGCAATTTTTTTTAGGTATTTCTTATAGTATTTTAAGTATACTTTTGATGCTTGAATAATATCTGGCAAAAAAAACATGTGTGATAAACATCCTGAAGGGACATTCACTGTACTAGCATGTACCTACTACTATGCTATCGAAGAAAGCTGTACTACAAGATAGTTTGTCTTAATTTTTGAGATATAATTATATTTTGGGTATTGAGTATGGAGTAGCAATAAGTGTGTGAACTTGACGTTAGAGGTGTAATCAGCGTAGGGTGTTGGAAGTTCTTTTTAAAGGGGTAGTGTCACAAAATCCAAAAATTTAGGAACGCCTTGAAAAAATTTGTATAAGCCAACAATTATATGAATAATAAAATATTAAAATTTCAGACACCCTACCTTCACCGTTTTCAAGAAATAAATTATCTATTCAACACGTACTCTTATCGGAAAAAGAGTATTTTACTGATTTCAATTTAAAATAATTTCAGGCTTTGCTGAAATTGAAGTAAAATGTAAAATAGTATATTTTAATCATGTTTCAAGAATAGCACCCATAGCTTCACCATTGTTTAGTTATAACAAATTAAAAGTGTGTATTTAAAGATCCGTGAAGACGTTGCAACAGAGATTTTATCACCAACTCAATGTTGACGTATAACATAACCTCTGAACGTATCTATACTTATACAAATAGATATACAGAAGGTTTTCGCCTCATGCAGCGTTGCCACATTTATTTTCACTTGTTTGTTTCGGAACACATAATGTATTTCAGAACACGTATTGACTATGCATTGTGACATTACCGCCTTAAATCATCGGACGATTCGATGAAACTGTATAGTCTTAAACTGGCTGCCCTACATATTGTTAATATTATATTGTGCCATCATAATATAATGTTTATAGTTTTTCAGTTATAAAATATTAATAGACTTATCACATTCAACTAACGTGGGTATACTCATTCCAACGATAATTGCACCACCTTTGTACACAATATCGTTTCATAGCAGGTATATTTATAATTATACTATCTCCTATATAGTTTTATAGAAGTATGACTTCTTATTTGGGTACCTAAGCACCCACCCACTGTCCACTGATTTCTTTTTTTTTTTTTTTTTTTTTTTTTCGTACTCAAAATGATTTTTGTTTTACTCAACTGAATGATGATTGATCCTGATCTTATGTAGAAGCCAGTCAGTTTGGAAGAAAATGCGAAGCGAGAGGACGTCAAGAGTGCGATCAGAGCCTGCATCCTCACCCGCAAGAATGGCATGCCTATCAGCGAAATCAGGGGTAAGCAGATCAAATCTTACATGGAAAGACAGTTATATTTAATGTATTGTACCATGTATTTGTTAGTAATATGATGTGATATAAAAGTACTAAATGATTTTTCCGATTGCAGACGAGTACAGAAAGATCATTGGTGAGGAAATACCTTATTTGAGAATTGGCTATAACAGCATATTTCACCTGATGCGGGACATACCAGAGGTCAAATCCATTAAAAATGACACTGGCGCGCACGTACTCATCGTTGAGCCCAACAAAAAGACGGAACACTTACACCGACTAATCGCGAAGCAGAAGGACCCGAGAACCTACACGGTAAGACGTAGAATAATATCGTTATCATTGCTGAAACAGTAATAGTCACTTTTTTAATACTAACGAATTTTAATAAAATAACCATTACTATTATTATTGTGATGATGACTATTACGATTGTTCTTATTTTAGTTGTTGTTGTTACTTTTATTATTATTATATTGATCTCATTCAGTAAAAGTCGTAAATGTTATCCCCGGTTATTTCGACTCGTATCTCCCTGCAAAAACCAAATGTTTCTGCTCCTACAGACGATCAACAACAAAGCCATGCAGAGAAAAGAAAGATCTTACCGGGAAAAAGTCAGCCGCCAGGTAGTGCATGACAAAAGAAGGGTTGTATTTTCGTCATTCGGCAGTAGTACCACGGAGAAGACTAGACAGCCTCCACTTGATGAAATGCCGCGACCCTCAATCATCACTACGCCCAATGTCGATCACGTAAGATATTTTTTTTTCATCTTAGATTAATAGCTATCAATAGCAGTTTTTGTACCTGGAGGTGTATGTCACCAGAGCAAGCACCAGGCTTAAGGTAGTAGTCGATCAAAAACACTTTTCTTACGATTTTTCTAAAATTTTGTGTGTGCCTTAAGATTGCTATTATTTATCATGAGCCAAAATTTGAAGAGGCTTAGCGGTATAGTTTTGAAGATATTAAAGTTTTAATGTTGAACTTTTAACACAGGAGGTATAGGAAAGCGCCGGATTGGGGGTCGATTTGTGAACGAAATTGCTTATATCTCTAAAACGCTTCTTACAATGTTTCGTAAAAAATAGTATGATATAATTTATATTATAAAGCAACTGTGGTTCCAATTTAAAAGGGCTCAGCGGTATAGTTTTGTTGTTCGAGCTTTGCAAAGTTGATAAATTCAGTGAAATTTGCTCCTACAACGTTGTCATTTTTCGAGATAGTTGTCGAAGCGATATATATAGTATACGCATACGCTACAGCGCATTATGGCACGCACTGTATAGTGCTCGACTACTACCTTAAAGGACTTCTTGTGCTTGGCTTGGTGGTGAAATGCGCACTAGGTACGAACTATATTATTCGTACGCAGCACACGTTCAAAGGTAAAAAAAAACTGCCCATAGTAGGAATACATTTTTTGAAGTTGTACTTGTATATGCATGGCTTAGGCTAGAGTTAACCAATGATTTCAAAATTGTGGCCTTGGAAACATATATTACGAAAGTTAACTATTCATTTTTCTTTCCTCGTCCACCATACCCTTAAACATATATATAGTTATTTCAAGTGGATTCAACCTCTAACCCCCCTCCATCCCCCTCAAAATACCTTGTTATTCGTTTGTTCTCTTGCTGTTTTGTCTTTTTTTTCATTCTTTTTTTTTATTACCGTGCTTTACGTCTGGCTCCTATTAAGGTCACTACTCCGGGCACTTAGCACTTTGATGCAGGAAGAGAAAAGGGATGGGAGATATCCCATTACTGGGAAGGGAGTAGGGGAAAATTAGGTAATTATGCTGCAATGAGGTCGCCTAAACCCTCCTTGAGGAGCATTTCGTGGTGAAAAAGCACATGTGACAATTCACAGAGGTACTTGCCCGAAAAAGTCACACTGGCCGGGAAACGAACCGTGGTCTCCCGCGTGCCGACCCACGACCTAGCTGACTGTGCCACCGCGCGCTCAAATTGTGCTGTTTATCTATTTAATTACATCCCCATGTATCCCCCTCCAATACCCTTCCACCCCCACCTTACTTCTAAATAACCTTAACAGCTTAGAAAATGATTGCGTTTTGTTGGACAGTTGTTCTGATTGGGCAAATCAATTCAAGTGTTGTAAAAGAGACTTCTATATATATTTTTAAGAAGTCTTGAACTTGTATGATAGTAAAATTTTTTAGAATAATATCCTGTAATGATAAAGAAAAATAAACTATTCGTGTACCAAAATAATGATTTATTTCGAAAACATTGTACATTATGAATTTATACATTTTGAATTTTAATTCGTCTTTTAAAGTTTTCTGACCTTGAAAATCCTTCTCTACATATTGTACAAATTTGTTTAACTTCACATTTACTGTGAATTTTCATATGTCTATTTAAATGTGTTGATCTCTTGAATTTTTTATTACAGTAAATGCATGTAATTGTTTTTTTTTTAACTGTGTTCCTTTTGATGTCTAACATAATTTTGTTTCACAGTAAATACAATTTTACAAGTATCACAAACGTATAATAAATTTTTGATACGTCTTCTTATGTTCTATTAATTTTTCAGGGTTAAAAAATTTTGTTTTACATACATTGCAGATGAATAAATCTTTCAAACTGAAAAATAATTTTTATTACAAGTTGTATTTAACCAATTGTGTGAGTCAATGATATATCCTTAATTGCATTGTGTGACCTAAAATAAGTAAAAACTTTTAATTTTTCAATTGATAATGTCAAATCATTGTAATTTTTTTTGCATTAATATTTATTACGTTTCCAAAGAACCTGGAAAATATATGTGTACACATAAAAAACAGATGATTACTTTTTTTCTTAATTTTTTGTTTTTTAAAATAAAATTTACAAATTACAAATAACATTATAAAATATAGAACATTCGTAGATGGATCACAAATTTTCTACCCTTAAATTTTTTTTAAACATTTCTCAATGTGGATAATGTGGATGTATGAGTATCTAAATTTTTTTGAATTATTGAGAAATTTCAGACCAAACAATATTTTGTATTTCAAATTTATTTTTAGCTTTAATTTAAATAAAGATATTACTTGGATTTTATATCTCGAAAGGACAATATATAACTGTCCATGAGAAAATAAAGGTTTTTAAACATATACTTAATCCTACAGAATCGAAACTTTGACCTTTAGATTTGTTAATAGTCATCGAAAAAGCTAATGCAAAGAGAAATTGTTTTCTGCACAAAATAAAAGGGAGTGATGATACTTAAGTTTCTTATTAACATAACTAAAGCATTAATTTTTAAATTTAATTCGTGTAGTGGAAGTCTTTCTCGAATATTATTTAAAAATTCTATTGGAAAGTTTATGTAAATATTATCGTCTGTTTTATCAACTACTTTATGAGTAGCATGGTATATGCTATGATAGTTATTTTTTCTTCTTTCATGTTTTGTAAAATCTTATTGTAAGCCTCCATTACTTCTGGACTATGTGTTTGTGCGACATCAGACTATTATACCTGAATACATCGATTAGTAACTTCGATGATTATACCTAAAATTTTTAAGTTACTTCATACAAATCTCTGTGAATGGTAAGAACGCAAATAGGACGCAAAGACCAGCTTACAATAAGTAATTAATTTGTCAAAAGTGTTGCTAATTTTTTCATGTTTTTGATTATTTGATTAACTTCTAAATTATAAAAATTATCATATTTTAATATTTTACCTTGAAATATAACGCGTTTTTATTTTGATTAGATTACTTTACGATAATGGATTGTAAAATAAACAAAAATGAAAAACTTTCTAATATTACTAATTTATTTTGAACTGCAAATTCGGAGGGGGGGTTGGCGCGTAGAGCGCACAGGGGGGCGTAGCTCTACTATTATACATATAAAAGTCTGAAGGCTTAGGAATAGCTACTTTGATACGACATTGTGCTTTTAGCTATATTTTTTTGCGTTATGTTTTTGACGAAGCTTAACTCTT